GGAGAGATTGCTGGAGGTAGAGCAAGCCTGCTCTAGCCTCGCATGTCACTTCCTGTCGTCTGTTGTGTCGTTGTGCCCTTGTTTGTTTCTCGTGGCACCGTGGAGTGCTGGGGGGGGCGACAGGGAGGATATGGCCTTGAGTTATGTGTACGCAAACTCAGGGTGTGTGGCAGCCCGCTGGCTGTGTGTCTTGTGAGCCTGTTTGTGTCTGTGTGTCGCTCGTGCGTGCCGTCATCATCTGTCTAGCGTCCGCCCATGCCGCGTTGGTGTCCAGTCCGAGCCTGGCTGTTCTTCACCTTTCTACCTACCTACCTACCTGTGGTGTGTGTGTGTGTGTGTGTGTGTGTGTGAGTGTGTGTGTGTGTGTGTGTGTGTGTGTGTGTGTGTGTGTGTGTGTGTGCGCATGTGTGTATGTGTGTCTATGAGTACTGTTCTCTAGGTAAGTACTGGTGAGTTGTCGTATGTCGACTTGTGTCTTGTGTGTCCAGATGTAGGCTTCCGCGAGCGGTTCCGTACCGCGTGTACGTGCGTACAGACACCGAGACAGCGGAGACAGCGCGATCTTGAACACTTTCTCTTTTGGACAAGAAACGAGACACGTACGTAGGTCGTAGCCGAAAACCGTGACACTCGGACCGTGACAGACAGCGCCCCCACTTCCGCAGTACCGGGAGAAGCAGGTGGGAAGCGAAAGTCGCGTCACTCGCACTCAACAGTACTCAGACCCAGACTCACCGGAGGCCTCCGTCCGCACGGACGAGGTTCTCGAGGCGGACGCGCATATTCTTGACGACGCCGGCGTGGCGCAGACAGACGGGGTAGCGGCCGCCCGAGAATGGACCCACGACAGTGCAGCGCAGCCCGTTCCAGCCTGGCGCCTTGACGAGGTCGGTGATGACGGCCTCGTCGCCGACGCCGAAGCCAAGGACGGCGCGCCCGCCGCCGCCCTCCGGCACCTCTGCGCCGGCCACCTCCTTGATCGTGAGCAGCGACGACGCGTTGATCCCGACGGCAGCCAGGAACGTGTCGGCCTCGAGCAGCGCCACCGCCGCCTCGGCGCGAGCCTTCTCGGCGGATGTCATGGAGGAACGTAGGTAGACACCGCGCTGCAGGTACGGTGCAGGCGGGCCTCCGAAATCATGCATCCAGTACCAACCAGCTTCCTTGGCCACGCCGAGGCGGAGCTTGCTTGACACCAATTGGCGTGGCACGATTTCGGCGTCCGCGAGAAAGTTAATGGCGTGCAGCAAGATGTACGTGTCGTGCAGGCGAGAGGCGTCGGCGACGATCTTCTCCTCGTCGCCACCGCAAGTCTCGCCCGACAGGAGGCGAAGCGTGTAGGTCAGAGATGGCCGAGCGTGTCGAGGGTTTGGGTCGGGGGCTGGCTTGACCTCGACGTTGAGAACCTCGGCGAGCCGCGAGCCGTCGACTCGGCCGTCGCGAAGGACGTCGTCGACGGTGTGCGAGGTCTCGCGGCGGCCGAGCAGGCAGATGCGGCCGACACAGTGCGCGCGAAGCTCCTCGAGCTGCTTCTTGGGCGGGACGTTGTAGCGCCACCGCCGGACGCGGCTGATGTCGAGAACGTTGGCAGCGGCTGGCGGCGGCGTGTAGAGGAGCGAGAAGTGGACTGGCGGCGCTTCTGCAAGCTCCGTGTGGGCGCCGTCGCAGAAGCCCTCGGGTGAGCGCGGGAAGAAGGAGATGCAGGTCGCCGCCTGAGAGAACGAGCTGACGCTCACCAGTTTGCCGGCGGCGTAGCCCCAGCTCCGCGCGGCTTCAGAGGGCAGCGTGCTCGAGCGCACGACGCAGAGGGTCCCCTTGATGGCCGGGTCGTCGAAGAAGTCTGCCTGGTTCAGGCCCTGCAGGCGCGCCTTTTCGAGGTACGCCTCGATCCGGGGCGCGTCGAAGCCATGCCGCCACGGGACGCAGCCCTGCGTGTAGAGCGCGGGGCGCATTCCGGCCGCCGGTCGAGGCTCGGCATCCGCCGCCAGCTTGGCCTCGCGGAAATTGAACCAGTCGTCGCCCGTGGTGCCGTTGCTCCCAAAGGCATGGTGGAAGCTCGACTCATCGGGCAGCTCCCCGTGCGAGCGCGTGCGGTTGCACGCCTCGAGCAGCGACTGCAGGTGCAGCGGCGGGCCGGTCACGCTCAAGCTTCCGTCGTGGTACGTCTGGGAGCGGTGCGCCCTCTCAACGCGCAGCAAGCGCAGCTCTGCCGAGAGCAGCCGCGCGAGGCCCCACCTCTGCGCCTTGGACGACCCATCAGACACCTCTGCGCGGCCATTGGCGCCCCAGTGGCTCTGCGTGAGCCGCGCCGCCGCCCGAGCCAGCGCCTCGAGCTCCAGGCGCGCCTTGTCGACGTGCGACGGGCGGTACAGCGATGCGTCCAGCCCGATGCCGAAGCCCCGCCGGGCGTACTTGAGCAGTCTCGTTTCGTACGTCTGCGACCGCCGTGCCAAGTCGACGTGGTTCACCTTGGACGCGACGGAGCGGACGGCGCGCGCGGTGGCGAGGACGCGATCGCCGTCGAAGGCGAAGCCACAGCAGTCCACGTCGAAGGAGGCGAGCACGTCCGTCGGAGACGCGAAGCGCTTGAGGACGACCTGGATGTTGCGCAAGGGGAATCCGGCGGCGAAGGTGATGGCCGTCTCGCTGCGGATGCAGAGGACCTTTCCGCCGGAGAAGTTGCGCTTCACCACCCGAGACACCTCCTGCAGCTTCTGCAGCGCCTCCTCCGCGGCGACCCCCACGAGGAACAGGTCGACGTCGCTCGAGGTGGCAAAGGGCGAGTGCGGCGAATCTGCGTCTGCGGCCGATTGGGGCGGCGCCGGCCTCCGGCTGTAGCGTTCCTTGGACGCTGCGGTTCCCGAGTCGGGCTGGAAGTAGACGCGGCGCATGTCCTCCACCTCCTCGCTGCCCGGCGCGCCCCACGCCTCGCAGCCTGTGCGTTGCACGCAGGCAAGCACAGCGCCGCCGGCCGCGACCAGGCCATCCCACCGAAGCCCGCGCAGCAAGCCGCAGCTGAAGGTGTCGAAGTTGTCGAGGAAGTGGGGGAGGGACGGCTCGAGCACCGCCGACTCCGAGCGCGTCGGCTCGGCGGCGAGAAGATCTGCTCGGGAGGCAGCGACGGCGCCTCTGACGAGCAGATGATCCGGTGCCATTCGCTGAAGACATCGATCAGCGGGAAGGCTCCCGCCGCGGTTGCGGCGAGTGTCGCGTCGTCGGGCGGTGCGGACGCGCGCTTCTCGCGGTACTCGTGCTCCTCCCTCCGAATGGCGGCATCGGTGACGGCCTCATTCGCGAGAAGCTTGAGCGCGTGCGCCTGCGGCGAGTCACCACAAGCGCGGCACGCGAGGAGCAGCCGGTGAGGCATCCGCGGGAGCGCGAGCCGCAGGCCGTCGCGCGGCCACCCCTCCGCCATCGATGTCGCCACGTCGAGCAGGTCCGCGACCGAGGCGTCGGCCGCAAAGGCACCGCACGTTCTGGTGATTCGGCGGAGGGCCAGCTCGCGCAGCGGGAGGACGTGGCGCTGCGACGCGTCCCACTCGCAGTCCCGCTCGTCGCGAGGCAACGAGCGAAAGAGGCGGGAGAAGTCGAAGGTCATTTGGCGCGGCGTCGCGAGATGCTCACACCGCACCGCACTCCGCACCCACGCCCCCCCCCGCCTCGCCTGAGTTGGAAGGAGAAAGGAAGATGGAACAGCCCGAGGAAAGGAGCGAATCAAACACGTATGGGAGGTTGAAATCGTGCACCACGCTGCCCGGCGTTTCTCACTTTCCGTCGTAGGTATATTGTTGGCTTTCCGGGACAGCCTCCCCGCCCTTGTGAGGCAGGAAAGTGGCGGCTACCCCGTACGCCCATATACGCGTTTTGGCGCGAGTCATGGATTGATGGGAAGGCGACACACAGTCCGACCAACGACTGGGACACCAACGCGGTATGGGTGGACGCAAGACGGGCGGTGACGGTCACACAGGAGCGACACACAGACCACACGACAAGACTAGTCATCGAAGCAGACCCCTATCTCGCTAGGAGCCGGAACCCACGCTGGAGAGGTTTACCACGCCGCCTCGAGAGGGAAGGAACGCCGTCAGCCGTCATCTCATGGCCAGCCTGCTCGTCAATCTCCCACTCTGCTACTTGAGTGCTCGCGTTGCGGCGGCGCACGCGAGGCCGCCGCACACACACCACCCACTCCGCCCAGGTGGCTGCGAGGTGGTGGTGGCGCGTGTGCCTCCCGGCATGGGCCGCAGCCGTCAGTTGGTGCTGCAGCAGGAGGGCGACGATGACGAACGCTACCTGGCTGCCATCGAGGCGCAGCTCCGCAGAGTGGCAGCCGATGGGACTCGCGCCGCGGAGGCCAGCGAGGTGCCCACACTGCTGCGAAGGTCCGCACTCACTGCGCGCTTCAACCGGTACGCCGAGTCTCCTCGCCGCATGCTGCTGCTGGGCACACTCTTCCTTTTTCTCGGCTTCTATTTTGCCCACTTCCTCGACACGGTCTTCGGGCAGAGCGGCTACTGGGAGACCGTCGCAGGGTTTGTGACGCTGGTCGTGTCTGAGCGGGTCACTCGCGAGTACTATTCGAGGCCCGCCGAGCAGAGGCCGCCGCTGCTAAAGCTCACGAACGCCTTCAAGGCGGGGCTGTACTACGGGCTGGTACTCGACGCAATCAAGATGTCGAGCTAGCGGATACCTACGCAGAGGTGTTATGTGAGCTGTGACGGCTGTGAGGGTCCGCCCCGGCACGCGCATTTAGGTGTTATGTGGGTATTTGAGTGATGTGTGTGGAAAATTAAAGCACCTGCATGTCACGGAGGAGCTCTAGTGTGGGGAGTTTCCGTTTTTGTGTGTTCTTGCGGTATCCTGAGAGTGCTCTGAGATATGCATCTCGCGTTCTCACGGTCTCGCCAGATACACCTGACCCCGTATCCCGTATCGTCGCGTCATAACCGATATCCCGCCATGTCGCCATATCCCGCCGTATCATCCCCGGCCCGGGGATACCGCGAAAAAACCGTCCGACACCGGGGATCGGAGGTGAGTGTCTCAAAAAAGCAAGATAGTTGCGACCGCCGCTACCGCGCTAGCCGCCGACCACCCCCCACACAAAGAACCCTGCACAAAGATCGCACGGGCGGGGACCTGTTCCTGTTTACCCATCTCCTAGTCGAGGTGTCGTTTTTTATTTATTTGTTTATGAACCCACAGCGTCGTTCTCGTTCCGATGCGGCCTGGCGCCTGGCGTGCCCCGGCTACGCGTACGAGACCCTTCTCGCCAGCGCCCTGATTCGCTCTTTCGCCTCCGGCTCCACGGCGGCAGCGGCCCGGCGGTTGATGACGTAGTTCATGTAGCTGCCGTATCCCACGCCCAGCAGAGTGTTGATGAAGAGCACGCGGAATCTGAGTGGCACCACCATCAGGTTGACGAGCATGACGGGAGGGATGACGGCGTATCCCGCGCGGAGGAGCGGCTCTAGCTTTTCCCGCATGTCGGCTTCAATGTGCGCAGCCGAGCCGTGCGCCGCCGTCGAGAGAAAGGCGACGTAGGCGACGTGCGAGGCGGGCATGAAGGTGAAGGTGTCCACGGCGAGGCGGAGGAGAGGAGCGGGGATGGAAAACAAGGAGGGAATGCGAGCGAGCACGTTCATCCAAACGTGTAAGTTTGGCGCCATGATCACACCGCTCCAAATCGCCTGCCGCGCTGTGCGGTGATGGTCCTGTTCGAGGGGCGGTACACCCGCCGTACTCTGCAAGGCCAGATCGGTCGAGGTGGAGAGGAGGCCCGCCGTCGCCATCTTTGTGGGTAGTGGGTGGGTTTGCAACACGGTGTCGTAGCGCGCGAGAAGGCGGAGCATGCTCGCAGCGCGCTCGTAGCACCGGTAGACTCGCTGCGGGGTATCGTGTGCGTAGCGTGTGTTTTAGTCCTCTATGCGTCCGTCCACTGCGAGCTGGGGCGGGGGGCGGGGGGGGGCGGGGCCCCGGGGGGGGGGGGGGGGGCCGGGAAAGGGGGAGGGGAAAAAACCCAAAAATCCAAATTTCCCCCACACCCCCCCACCCCCACACACACACACACACACACACACACACACACACACACACACACACACACACACACACACACACACACACACACACACACACACACACACAAGCCCCGCAAACCCAAAAAAAGAATTCTTAAAATACACGCCTCTCTCACAGCACACTGGCACGACAAGGGCGCGGACTGGCGCGGACTGGCACACACACCGGCTCACCACCGGAGCCGCCTAAGCGACTCCGTTAAGAACGGCAATGCACTCCGCACCATGCACAATGCCCTCGTGTGAGTGAGTATCACACACACACACACACACACACACACACACACACACACACACACACACACACACACACACACACACACACAATGCCCTCTCCCAAATGCTCGATAACCCCAGGACGCCGAGGAAGTGCCCTGCCTGCGACGAGATGATCACGCCCGAGCGGCACAGCGAACGCGCGCAAGTTCAAGATCCTGCAGTCGCGGAAGTGGCAGGACACGGAGCTTGACGTGGCGCGCTTCATCAAGCTCTTCCCGTCACAGATGCACGAGGGGAAGCGCAAGCGGCCGACGGTGTTGCGCGACGCGCTCCGAGTCAACGGCGTCGGCGTGGGCTTTTACGCGGCAGCGCGCACCGGCGTCGCCATGGACAAGGTGCGGGCGCAAGAGGTCAAGCTGAGGGTGCTCGAGAAGCTCACGCCGGCGCTCGGGCGGCAGACGGCTGAGCTCCTCGGGCGCTTCACCCTCAAGGCGGCAACCGCCCTCAACCACGTCGCCCGTGGCTGCGAGCCCTCAGTCACGCGCGAGCCGCTCGAGTACGCGGGCGAGACGCAAGCGCAGCTCTTCCGCACGCTCACCGCCACCAGCCCCTCCGAGATCCGTGACGTGCAGCACGACGCCAACCCCGACGGCCCGACGGAGCGGCGGTGCGAGGAGGCGATGCACCTCTCGCAGCGGAATGGCGGCTTCGGCTGGGCGCACCCACGACTCATCGCGCCGGCCGCTTCGACTGGGCGCGTGCTCGACGTCCTCTATCTGCTGCGGCGGCTCGAGGACGTGTCCCCATTGGTGCCGCCCCCGAACGAGTGGGCCGCGTCCGGCGTGCCGATGCTCGAGGAAGCGATCGCGTTCATCGAAGAGCTTGTGAGCAATTCGGCGGGCTTCAAGCACGGCCCGGACAGCGACGCCGACGACTGGAGGACCCTCCGCAACAAGATCGTCGCGGACGACGGCTCCGTCGACTACAAGGGGATCGAGCAGGTCTCGGGGCGCCACTTCCAGCACGTCGCCAACAACGCCCTGCAGCAAGACATGTTCGACGCTATCGTCAACGACCCGAAGGTACACCCGGCGACGCGAGCGCACTTCCGCTCGACGAAGCAACTCGGGGCGGGCGCGGTGCTCGGCATCGACGTCGTCCACAAGGACGTCGAGCTGAACGACAAGGCGTGGCTCCACGAGGCGCAGGGCTACCTCAACCACCCAAAGGGCGCCATCACCCTCGCCACGCGCTGCGTCGGCGTGGGCCCTAACTCGGTGTGCATCTACCACCGCACGAGGCTAACGGGATGCGTCCCGTGCGACATCGGCGAAGCGCGAGTGCCGCGCACGCTGTCGCTCTTCGAGCACCTCAACGGTACGCACTGGGACGGGTGCAACTACGGCGGCTGGCTGGCCACGGGGCACACATCCCTCAACACCCACGTCACGAACGTCGCCCGCGCCTTCGGCGCCTCGGCAAAGGTCATGGAGGTGAGGCTCGGCTGCAGGGACCCGACGCGGGCGCACGATCCGGACACCAACCCGTACCAGAGGGGCGACGGAGTCTTCGGCAACTATGCAGAGTCGGCACGCGCCGTGGTGTACGACGGCACGTGCGTCACCGCGGTGCACCATGACAGGCTGCGCCCGCTGGCGAGCGGCAAGCGCCTGGCCACCGACTACGCCGAGGCGACGAAGCGGAAGGCCAAGGCAGCGGCGTGCGACGCCAAAAACTGCGACTTTATGACATGGGCGGCGAGCACGCGTGGCGGCATCGGGCACGAGGCGGCGACGTGGTTCAACACCAACTTCGACATCAAGGCCGCTAAGGCGTCCTCCGACAGCGAACGATGGCGGGTCAGTAGCGAGCGCAGGCGCTTCCTGCAAGTGCACTCGGCCATTGTCGCGAGGCGCAACGCCGCCATCTTCGACTACAACGCGTGGCCGAAGATGGGCGGCGAGATGCCGCGGGCGCCTCGAGAGCAGTATGAGTAGGGACGGGCGAGGGAGGAGGGGCGCTGACCACGGGCGACTACGAGTCGAAGGTTCGAGGACGACTACTCGCCGCCTGGGTCGTTTGGGGCGCGCGGCTCCGTCGAGGACCGGGCGCGCCCCTTTCCCGGCGCGGCGTAGGTCCCACTCTGACGTATAGAGGGGAGGCACGGACAACGGCCCAATTCATCAATTCCACTCATCTTCTGGTGCCTAGCCCCGTGCAGCGGCGGTCCGGCAGGCTGCCCCCAAGGCCCCCTGGGCCGCTGCGGGTTTTGGAGTTATGCTTTGGCACAGCTTCGGCGATGGCGGCCCCTCTCTGGGGCTTGCATAGGCGGGGAGTCTCCCCCGCTGGTCTCCTCATTCCCTTTTTTCTTTTTCTTTTGAGAGCAGGACGCCGGGTTTGTCTTGTATGTGCATGTCGGGCCTGGGTGTGTGTGAGGGGCAGAGGGGCGGGAGCGTGCGGGGCAGAGGCCCAACGTCGGGCGGCTTGTCGGGGTCCGGAGCATTCGAGGGGGGAACGAGGAGGGGAGAATGGGCGGTCGGCGTCGGGGTAGAGCAACAGGCGCGTACGGGGTAGCCGTCACTCTCCCGCCTCAAAAGGGCGGGGCTGTCCCGGAAAGTGAGAGACGCCGGGCAGCGTGGCGCATTACTGAACCCTCCCATACGTGCTCGTACTCCTCCTTCGCTGTCCCATCTCCTCGTCTCTTTCCCGCCTGGGCGGGGCGGTGGGCGGGCGCGCGGTGCGGCATGGCGTGTGCGTGTGCGTGACTGCAACGGAGGACCGCTCGCAGAGGACCATTGGGTTTGTACTATTAACAACGAAGGCGCTCTCAAAAAAAAACCGCGACCCGGCTCGCGCCTGTATTCCACACACGCCGCCGCGACCGCGGATGAAGCTCAAGCAGCTCGTTGGCGAGCTGCAAGGCGTGCAGTCGTGGCGTCACCCAAAGTCGGAGCTCGAGCAGTATCCGACGCCGCCGGACATTGCGGCGCACATGCTGCTCGCGGCGGACGCGGAGGACGGGCTGGAGGACGCTCTGGTGGCGGACCTCGGCTGCGGAGGCGGCGTTCTCGGCATCGGCGCCGCGCTCCTGGGCGCCGCGCACGTCCTCGCCGTCGACCTCGACCCGGCAGCGCTCGAGGTGGCGGCGGAGAATGTGGAGGAGTTTGAGGTGCCCGTCTCGCTGCTGGGCTGCGACGTGGTCCAGCTCGCGATGCGGTCGGGGCCGGAGGGCGCGCCGAGCGGTGTCGCTGACGCCGAAGGAGGCGCCGACGCTGGGGCTGCGGGCGGCGCGTTTGACATTGTGCTGATGAACCCTCCGTTTGGGACGCGAAACGAGTCGCACGGCGCGGACGTGGCGTTTCTGCAGGCGGGGCTGCGGCTCTGCCGGCCCGGCGGCGCGGTCTACTCGCTGCACAAGACCTCCACCCGCCCGTTCATCGCGAAAAAGGCGGCCGAGGCCGGCGGCGAGGCCTCGGTGGTGGCGGAGCTGCGGTTCGAGATCCCCAGAATGTACAAGCACCACCGGCAGCCGAGCAAGGACGTGGCGGTCGACTTTTGGAGAGTGCAGAGAGGGGGCGGGGGCGAGGAGGAGGAGGGGGAGGAGGAGGTGCCGTCGTGAGAAAGAGAGAGAGAGAGAGCATGAGAGAGAGAGAGAGAGAGCCTTGAGAGAGCCTTGAGAGCGCGGGGAGCAAAAGAAAAGCTCGAAGGCCTCTCCACGCTGGAGCCGGAGCGCCTTCGTTCTTTTGGGATGGAGGAGCCAAGCAGCGAGCCAGCGCCGCTGCTCGGGCAGCGCGTCGCGCTCGGCGGGCTCTCCTCCCGCCCCGCGCTAAACGGGCAGCGGGGCGTGGCGCGGAGCTTCGAGGGCGGCCGGTACGCTGTGGCGCTCGAGGGCGGCGGCGAGAGCGTGCGTGTGCGGCCGGGTAATCTCTTGCCGGTGGCGGCGTCGGCGGAGCGGGCTTCGAGTGCCGTGGAAGTATCCGTCGAGGCCATCGCAGCGGTTCGGCGAGGCGGCGCTGCTGCTGCTGCTGTTGCTGCTGCTGCTGCTGCTGCTGCTGCTCGCCAGCGGTGTCGAGGGGTGGCGTGCCAGTCTCCGACGAGGTCGTGGCAGCGGCTGAGCGAGGCGAGGAGGAGGCGGTGCTGGCGTGGCTTAAGGGCGGCGGGCGGGCCGACGCGACGTACGAGAGAGGTGGGGTGAGCGGCATCACGCTGCTGATGTCCGCCGCCGAGCTCGGCCACGAGCGGGTGGTCGAGTTGCTACTGCAGCACGGCGCAGGGGTCAACCTGCAGAGCAGCGTCCGCATCACCGCGCTGATGACCGCCGCCGGCCAAGGCCACGAGCGGGTGGTCAACTTGCTGATACGGCACGGCGCTGAGGTCAACCTGCAGAGCAGCAACGGCAACACCGCGCTGATGAGCGCCGCTGTCTTCGGCCACGAGCGGGTGGTCGACTTGCTGATACGGCACGGCGCGGAGGTCAACCTGCAGAGGAGCGACGGCTGCACCGCGCTGATAGCCGCCGCCCACCGCGGCCACGAGCGGGTGGTCGAGCTGCTGATTCGGCACGGCGCGGAGATCAACCTGAAGAACAGCATCGGCAGCACCGCGCTGCTGCTCGCCGCCGACCAAGGCCACGAGCGGGTGGTCGAGCTGCTGATTCGGCACAGCGCGGGGATCAACCTGCAGAACAGCGGCGGCTTCACCGCGCTGATGGCCGCTGCCCTCTTGAACCGCCCCGCCGTCGTGCGGCGTTTGTTGCGGGCGGGCGCTGACACGGCGGCGCGCATTAGTGGCAAGACGGCGCTGCAGCTGGCCAAGAGGGAGGGCCACGCCGAGTGCGTCGAGGCCTTCAAGAAGCACGTCCAGGAGGTGTTGGCGAGACGGCCCACGGCGACGGCAGCCGGCGGCGAAGGCGCAGGCGGCGCTTCCTCCGGCGGCGCTTCCTCCTCGGCTGCTTCGAGAGTCGCGAAGACGCTGTCTCCGGCGGTGGCGGCGGGGCGGGCGACGAGCGGTGTCGTGGCAGTCTCCGACGAGGTCGTGGCAGCGGCTGGGCGAGGCGAGGAGGAGGCGGTGCTGGCGTGGCTTGACAGCGGCGGGCGGGCCGACGCGACGTGCGAGAGATGCGGCGTGAGTGGCATGACGCTGCTGATGTTCGCCGCCCAGGAAGGCCGCGAGCGGGTGGTCGAGTTGCTGCTGCGGCACGGGGCGGAGATCAACTCGCAGAACAGCATCGGCAGCACCGCGCTGACGATCGCCGCCGTCTTCAACCGCTCCGACGTCGTGCGGCGCTTGCTGCGGGCTGGCGCAGATGCGACGGCGCGCAGCGCGAGCGGCAAGACGGCGCTTCAGTACGCCAAGGAGAAGGGCCACGCCGAGTGCGTGCGCGTCATCAAGGAGCATGCGGCGGCGGCGGTGGCGGAGGCGGCGGAGGCGAGGGAGGTGGAGAGAGCGGCGGCAGAGGCGGAGGCGTCGCGGAATGCCGAGGCGCTGCTGGCGGAGGAGGAGGCGGAGAAGGAGGAGGCGGGGGAGCGCGTCAAGGAGAGCAAGAAGGGGAAGAAGAAGAAGAAGAAGGGGAAGGGCGGCGCGGGCGGCGCTGGGCCTTCGCGGGAGCCCGATGAGGCAGCGCTGGCGGCGGGAGAGGAGGCGCAGTTGGCGGCGGCGCTAGAGGAGAGCACGAGGCTGGAGGAGGAGAGGCGGGCGCCCGACGAGCAAGCGTCGTCCTCTTTGGCTGCAGAGAGGCCGCCTTCGGTGGAGGAGGAGGAGCCGCCGGCCGACTTCATTTGCCCGATCACAACCGAGGTGATGGTCGACCCGGTGATGGCGGCGGATGGGCACTCATACGAGCGCTCGGCGATCGAGCGCTGGCTCGCGACCAAGTCGACGAGCCCGCTGACGGGCGAGGAGCTCGAATTCACTCGGCTCATCCCAAATCACACACACCGCCGGATGATCCGACAGTGGCAAGAAACCGTTCGCACACCCGTCACCCGACTCCTGACCTCCTGAGACACGCTTCGATGCTTGTCAGGCACTGCTCTCTCTCTGCTGGTCAGAGTGGTCAAATTGTTGCTTGTTGGTGACAATCATCGCCTCGATGGGTTTGTTGTTGGTGAGCGCCGCGTAGACCTCGCGCCGGCAGTTGTGACTCGCAAAGTAGCCCGAGGAGAGGAAGATGAGCATCACCACTGCATTGGCCATCGCCTCCTCCAGCTTGCCGATGTCGTCCAAATTGTGCCACGCCAAGCTGTGTGACTAGTTCCAAAAAGTATGTGGTGCAAAACCCGCCAAAAACTAGTTGTTACTACCAAAAACGCTGTCGACTACTTGCAAAAAGTCTCACGTGGAAACCCCACCAAAAACGATGTCACGGCCAGCTCGGCACTACGCCAGAACGCCAGCGGGGAGGCGCCGCGACTTAACGCAGCCACCCGTGTGCGCGCCCGCGGAGGTTTGCACGCCCATGGCGCACCCGATCGTGCACCGCGACGTCAAGCCGGACAACATCCTGCTCGACGAGAAGCTGACCGCCGTGCTCGCCGACACGGGCTTCGCAAAGGACCAGCGTCCCGACGCCTCTGTCCGCTGCCGCTCGACCGCCCTCTACATCTCCACGGGCTACCTCTGCCCCTCCATCTCCAAGGGGGGCGAGTACTCGAGCAAGACGGACGGCTACGCCATCGGTATCACCCTCCTCGTCTGCCTCACCAGCCGCTCCGAGGTGCAGCTCACCGACCGGTGCGAGGACGAGTTCGAGGAGGACTGGACCGACATCGACGCAGTGAAGCTCGCCGACGTGGCTGCAGGCTGGCCAGTCGACGCGGCACGCGCGGTAAAGGACCTCGCGCAGGCGGGGGACGGGCAGAAGAGCCTCTGCCACCACAGCTTGCGCAAGCGGCCCACGCTGCCCGAGGCGCTGCTGACGCTCCGGGCGCTGCTGTCTGGCGCGCGGGGCGGGGCGGGGGTGGAAGAAGCTGCGCCGGCCTTTGGAGACGAGGCCGCTGCGACAGCCGCCCGCACCACCGGGTACGAGCCTTCGCCGCTCTCGGTGCAGGTGCGCGGCATGCGCACGGGCGGCGACGCGCAGGCGCGCATCCAGGGCAACATGCTGCTCGCCTTCAACACGCTGATGCCACGCCTCGACGCCGTCTACGAGGAGCGCATCAACTTTTGGCACCGCGAGTGCGGCTTGCCGACCGAGCTACAGAGGCAGCTGCACTCGCTGCGCATCTGGGCCAACGCGGCGAGGCACCACGACGCGGCGAGGTGGAGGAGGGACGGGCCGCGCAGCGAGGGGGAGGCGTCGCGGCTAGTTGCCGAGGTGACGGAGGCGATCGGGGCGCTCGAGGGGTAACATTTGTGTGTACGAGTGTTCCTCGAGGTCGTATGGTACAGGTATAGACCGTCGTCGGTGTGTACAACTAGCTCCCAGGTGTGTGAGGCCATGTGCGAGGCGCGCGTGAGGGGTCGGGCGGAAAGCGAGACTCGAGTAAAACTGCACATTCGAGCCGCTCTGCGTGTTCCTCTCTTGTCCCCAAGAGTGTGCACCGTCGTCGCCAGGGGCGCAGCGGGCGCAGCGGGCGCCGCGGGCGCCGTGGGCGGCGCGAGACCGCCGTGGTCAGCGAACCCGTGCTGGGCAAGGCCGTGGGCGTTGAGGCAGGCATCCGCGCAACTACTGAAGCAGCGGCGACGACGGCGGCGGAGGCCGCGACGGCAGCGGAGGCCGCAACGGCGGCGGAGGCCGTGATGGCGGCGGGCCCCCCCGCCGCTGCGTTGCTGTGCGCCATATTGTGAGTTCTCCACACACACGAAGTGGTGGGTCAGGGGGGGGGGGGCAACCCTCGCGACTCCGCGTCCAGAACGGTTTGCACCTTCCTAGCTTGAGTTCTCTGGTCTGAGGGAGGGTGTAGAGGATGTAGAGTGTAGAGCAAAGTAGAGCTGTAGAGATCTAGTGCGCTGTAGAGCTGTACAGCTCTCTCTGCATCCGGCGCGTGACGGACCTGTGTGTCTTTGGTGCCTTGGTTTGACGGACCTGTGTCGAACCTGATACAAAACACCGTAGGCTCGTGAATGAAGCCAGATCTGAGAGAGAGAGAGAGAGAGATTTGAAGACCAACAAGAAATCACGACTCTCACAGTGATTTGGGCTCTTTCTTCAGATCTGCGAAAGACAGAAAGAAAACAGCAGATCTAGGGAAGAAAACGGAAAAAGAAAGAAATAAAACAGACAACCCAAGGGAGGGATGGGAGGACGGCACGCCGAGATTTTTAAGGAGAGAGGTGTGCTCCAGAAAACGGAAACGTCATGATTCGCGCGATGTTGAAACGTTCTTCCGCGGGACATCTCTCTTCATGCACGTGCCCCATGCCCACGAAACCGACGCCCATATTTCGTGCACCGCCCAACTGCGGGCTGCGCTCGTCATTCAGTGGCATCGCCTGGCGGTGAACCACCGTCTCTGGGGTAGCAGCGCCGTTCGCTGCGTCGCCGCCGGGAGAGGCGACGGGAGAGGCATTGTGCGTTGGGGTTCACTGATCTACGCGGGCGAGGTGACAGTGGCGGCGACAGAGGGCCGCCCGCACGGCGCGGGGGTGGCAGTGTGGAAGGACGGAAGCAGATTTGAGGGCCAGTGGGCCGAGGGCGCGCGAGACGGCACGGGGACTTTCACCGGTGCGGGTGCGGGTGAGGTGAGTCAGGAGGTGGGTGGTGGCACAGAGATGTATTGTGGTGGATGGGCGCGAGGGGTGCGCCACGGAGCTGGCCGCCTCCACACCGCCCTGGGACACGTCTATGAGGGCGAGTGGTGCGACGGTGACCTCGTGCGCGGCAAATTTGTTGGCCGGTGGCATGGCAGGTACGAGGGCGAGTTCAGGAGGCTGAGAAGACATGGCCAGGGTGTCTGGACGTCGGAGCGAGGCAACCAGCGGTACGAGGGGAGATGGTTCGACGATCTGTTCGACGGCGAGGGCCTCTATACGTCGTCAGGCAAGACGCGCCGCTACGCTGGCACCTTTCGGGCCGGGAAGCGGCACGGGCACGGCACCTGGAAGTCCGGGCATGGAGATGAGTACAGCGGCGAGTTCGTGGCCGGCCTGTTTCACGGAGGTGGCCTCCTGCGCACCACATCCGGGTGCACATATGACGGCGAATGGGTCGAGGGGCAGCTTCACGGCCAGGCAACGTACCAGAGCAAGCAGGGTGTGCGATACGAGGGAGAGTGGCGGCGCGGTAAGAGGCACGGCCTCGGCACGCAAACCTTCCGAGATGGCGCGGTCTTCACGGGCACCTTCAAGAGCGACGTCTTCGACGGCCCGGGCGACTGGGTGGACGGCCGCGAGGGCTGCGGCGGCAGCTATCGGGGCGACTGGTCTAACGGGTTGCGTCACGGCGAGGGGGCCTGGGAGGGTGGCGACAAGGATTGCTACAAGGGGGGCTTTGTCGGTGGTAGCATGTGTGGGGAGGGCGAGCTGCAACTGAGCGTGGAGGACGAGCCTCTCCAGGTTCAGTGGCGCGTGCCGCGTGCCGGTGCGAAAAGCGGCTCCGGTTCACCGCTGCTCCTGCCATGTGGGTTCGTCACGCCGCCTAGGCGCGTGGCACTCTCAACACCACACAAAACATGACCAGGCTTCGATCGTGTAAAGAAAACACGGGCGCAACTCGGCTGCGAGTTTTTCTTCTCTTTCCCGCACCGTCCGTCTCTTAACACAGCGCTCTACATCGCTCTAGCCTCTACATAGCTCTCCCAGCGCTCTACACACTACACTCTACATCCTCTACACCCTCCCTCAGGTGACTCTCCGTCCGGGTCAATCTGGAGGTCATTCTCCGCAATCTCCTACGACAGGGAGTATTCTTTTGAGAGCACGCTAAAAAATACAAGAAAGAATACTCTCCGAGGGCTGGTTCCGTGTACCAGAACGCTGCCCCCTACTCGGAGCTAAATAAATAAATAAATAAAACGGACATCCCAAGCTAGGGCTGGGTCGAGGACAGACACGTCCCCACCTTTGCAGGATTTTGCAAAAGCGAGGGGGAGGGCTGGGCTAGTGACACCACTTGGAGCACTTGGAGTGCAGTTATCAACCTCAAAGAAAGAAAGAAAACGGACAACCCAAGGGAGGGATGGGAGGACGGCACGCCGCCACCACACAGGGATTTTAAGGAGAGGGGTGTGGTGCGCTATTATCAACCTCACATCCAGGCGCAGCAGGAAGAATATTTTTTCTGGAGCTTGGCTCCAGTCACCAGGGCGGGCCGACGCTCTCAGCTCTCGCCAAAGCGGCCCGCCATGGCGCCCAAAGAGGACCCCAAGGCCCCCGCCGCGGCCGCGGACAAGGCTGCCGACAAGAAGAAGAAGAAAAAGGAGGAGGAGGAGGTGTCGGAGGAGGACGCAGCGCTGATTGAGAAGATGCAGCTGCTCGTGACGCGGTGCTCGGACGTGGAGAAGGGGATCCGGGTCAACGCGCTGACGGAGATGTCGCGCGAGATCCGCGAGGCCACCTCGTCGATGACCTCCGTTCCCAAGCCGCTCAAGTTTCTCCGGCCGCACTACCCGACCCTCAAGCAGATCCACACCGGCGGCGGTGACGAGGAGGTGGGCAGCCGCCGGCGCCGCGCGCCGTGCGCGTGCGTCCGCCGCCCGCCCGACGGCCCGCCCCCCTCGCCGCAGGTCCAAAAGATGCTCGCCGACGTGCTCTCGGTGCTCGCGATGACCTATGCCGAGGCGCGCCCCAGCCGCCCCGTCGCAAGCGCCTCCCCAGCGGGCGGTCTCAGCATCACCGCCCTTCCCCGGCGCAGCTGGCCGCCCCACTCCCTCACCACGCACGGCGTACCACACGCCGCGCGGCCTCGCGCGCACCCCACTCAAAGCAGCGCCGCCCGAATCACCCCGCTCCCCGCACCTACCAAGTTGGGCAAGGCCCAGCGGAGCCCGCAACGCCGTCGGAGCCCGGCTCTCTTCCTCCCCACAAGCCGTGTCCGACAACACCCTGCCCCGCAGGACGACGGCGCGCGCGAGTCGCTGCGCTACAAGCTCATCGGGGCGGGCGGCAAGGTTGGCGCGTGGGGGCACGAGTACGTCCGCCACCTCGCCGCCGAAGTCGGCGAGGAGTACAACGCGCGCCTCGCCGCCGCAGACGCCGCCGCGGACCGCGCGCGCGAGACGGAGGCGGCCAAGGAGGAGGGGGGCGAGGCGGCGGAGATGGAGACGGCGGAGGCGGAGGGTGCGGCTCCTCTCCTCCCGGCGGAGGAGCTGCTGCCCCTCGTGACGGGCGAGATGGTCCCCTTCTTCATCGCGTCAAACGCAGAGTCGGAGGCGATCGACCTACTGATGGAGTGTGGGCAGGCGGGTCGCCACACACCTCCCCAACACCTCCCCGACACCTCCCCGACACCTCCCCGACACCTCCCCGACACCTCCCGTAGACACTCCCCCCAGACACCTGCCAGACACCTTCCAGACCGTTCTGGTGGAGTGCGGGGACACGCGCGACGCGCTTAACCGCGCACCGGCCACTCCCGCCAGCCACGACCTGGCCGGGGCTCTTCCTCCTT